TGCATTCGAAAGTGACAACCAATCAGTTATTAACTGGGGCAAGAAATGGCTTATAACCCTGTAGCGAAAGTGATTTTCCGAGCAGAGCTTAGATGTGGCACAAGGCCGAAAGTACAGGGCACCCAGTAAGGATCCAACTCAATATTCAGTCGTTTATTGATCTAGCAAAACAAGCTTTCTTGCCATTAACCCACGTCGAGGTGCCCAGTTGAGTTTTTAAGCGTAGCTTAGATATGACACAAGGCCGAAAGTACGGGGCACCCAGTGAGCATCGACCTCACTACTCATTCGTATTTTATTTAGCGAGACAATCTTTCTAACCATTACAACATGTAGAAGTGATCAAATGATTTTTCTAAGCGTATTTTAGATGTGGCACAAGGCCGAAAGTACGGGGCACCCAGTGAACATCGAACTCACTACTTAATCGTAATTTATTCAACGAGACAAAGCTTGCTAACCATTACACCACGTAGAAGTACCCAAATGATTTTCTAAGCGTAACTTAGATATGACACAAGGCCGAAAGTTACGGGGCACCCAGTGAGCATCGAACTCACTACTCAATTGTAATTGATCTAGCAAGACAAGCTTTCTAACCATTACACTACGTCGAGGTGCCCAATTGATTTTCTAGGCGTAGCCCGGGGCACCCAGTGAGGATCGAACTCCCTATTCAGTGTAACTGTTTTAGCGAGAAAAGCTTGCTAACCCTTAAACCAGGTCGAGGTGCCCCGTTGATTTTCTAAGCGTAGCCCGAGGCACCCAGTGAGGATCGAACTCACTATTCAGTCATGACTGTTTTAGCGAGACAAGCTTGTTAACCATCACACCACGCCGAGGTTCACAAATCTCTAGTGAAAGACTGATAAGGGTTTCCCCTTTCGTTCTATTTAGTGTTTACAAGAATCCAAATAGAGAGCGAGTAATTAAATCTGAATAGGCAGAAGGAAATTTAATCGACCAAAAGCTGAAGCTATGACAGGATAAACCTATTAATGGTCAATTCTCTGATCCTGCCCACTAAGCCTGTACATCAGTGATTACCTTGTGCAGGATTAAACGCTGAAACCGACAGTTATATTCACCCAACACTGTACCGATCCCTGCTAACTAAATATTATGAAAGAAACATATTGATAAATTCTCTTGACCACAAATTCAGATTCAGTCCCTCTCTCACAAACGAGCCGTCGCCTCCCTCTGTCTTTTTTAGGGGATAAAATCAAGGCATTTGGAGACGTCGATTGACATTACATTTGAAATATGTCAGTGAAAGAAAATGAAAAAAGATATTAGAAAGAACCGGAAACTCTTTCCTAACCTGGAATAAAATATTAAAAGTCTACGTCTTTTCATAAGGAGTTTGAATTTTAGTTGATGTCACAAAACTTTCTTCGCTATCGCTTTGTTCGTAGAACGAGTAGAAAATCGGTTAAGGCTGTCCGCGTTAGGGTTTTTGTTTTCCTCTACACATCAGCGTGCGCACATCCACACATACTGCTCTGGCATCTCGTCTGCAGGCGCTCTCTCACAGACGTATTGTCGGGTTCCTCTGTCTTTTTTACAAATATTTTCACGGTAACTGCTCCGACGAGCTGCTTTCGCTGGTTTCCAGGCTGCATGAATTTAAGGGTTCAACTAGGCTAGCATATCGCTCTCACCCTTTCACTGTCGAAACTATTAAATGTAGCCGTCTCTTCTACTCCAATAGATTCACGTCTCGCAATTCTCGCCTGTGGAACTCCTTCCTCTTTTCCAGTTTCCCTGATAACTATAACTATCCAACTATTCAAATGTCAGTCGACGTCTCCAGATGCCCTGATCTATCCCCTATCCTTCTCTTCATCACTCCTCTTTGTTCTACTTCCAACTCTCTGTAACCCCTTGCATGCTGGTGGTTTCCCGCCTAGTTGGAGTGAAACGCTTAAAAATAAAAAGTATTAGCCTCCACTGAATATAAAACTCGGCATGACCGGTTGGGCCAATATCTATACTGGAAAATCTGGTACTCTTACGAGAAGGACCTGTAAAATAATGATGGTATTTTAGAATACACATTTAAAGAACAGTCAAAGTCCACCGCCCAGACATAGTGATCAAAGACCGCTAAAACAGAATATTCTTTCTTATTGATATTGGCAGTTCTTGTAGACTAATGTAGCTTTGAAGATTAAGAAAAAAAAGCTATCACAATACAAGGATCTTGAAGTGGAAATCTAAAAAATGTGAGCTATGAAAACATCAGTAATTACAACTGTGATTAGAAACTAGGCTTGGAAATTGGAAAAAGGTTCTGGTGAACTAATTGAATGGGTCTCTGGCATCCTATGATTTAAAGAAATACAAAAGATTGCTCACACAACGATGGGATTTATCGACGTAAAGTGTATGTGTGTTTACGATGATTTATTATTTTTTCGGCACAAATGTTCAGTGGAAATTGTCATGAAAGGCTTCCTGATGTTAGGCCTCTGGTTGGGAACCATAATAATAATAATAATAATAATAATAATAATAATAAGAAGAAGAAGAAGAAGAAGAAGAAGAAGAAGAAGAAAAAGAAGAAGCAGAAAAAGTAAAATAATAATACTAAGAAGGAGAATAATAATAATAATAATAATAATAATAATAATAATAATAATAATGAGAAGAAGAAGAAGAAGTACAATAATAATACTAAGGAGAAGAACAAGAAGAAAAAAATAATAATAGTAAAAATAATAAGATGAAGAAGAATCAGTATAATAATAATAATAATAATAATAATAATAATAATAATAAATAAAAATGAAAATAATAATAATAATATTAATAATAATAATTTTATGATGAATTATATCACGCCTGTTAAAATTCCCTAATTGTATCTGAAATATTTTAGCGTAACAGCTATTGAAATATGAAGCCTAACTATGATTGCAGGTGTCTATTCAAAGTAACTCGTCAATGGTACGGCAATAAACTAAATTCGGTTACAAGGCCTCTGATCGGCGGGGGGGGCGTGAGTGGCGTAACACCACGCCTTATTTGCTGTTGTACCCAGGTACACCCAGACACAGGGTTGTATCGCCTGTTAGGGTCTGTGACACTATTTAGCTATGGTAATTGGCTAACTAATTAAGCATGGAAATTAAAAATGGGAAATACTTAAGAGAAAGAGCTATAACGAAAGACATACCGAGCGACATTATTTTATTTTAACAAAAGAAAAATGGGTAAAGATTTTATTTTCATTTACGAAGAAAGGTATTTTTTTCGCAGAAGATAGAAAATTCGTAAGAAAAACAGGTATCGGATTCTGTCATAATTAATTAATGTCATGACACGACAAGGGAAAACGAATACGGATAAAGGATAACAATCTTCCCACACGTGTGGCAATAATAAAAATTTCAATTCGGTCAGAGGCATACAAAGCAGAATTCTAGAAGATGATCGAAACTTGGTCAAGCATGCGACCGAGAAAGAATTAGGTGAGACCACCCCAAAAAGAATAGCCATAAATTATCTTTCGGAGATATCATTTGGTTTTGGTTCTTGTGTCCAGAAGAAGACCCATCTGTTGTATGTCCGGATCTTGTCATGATAAGAGTTAAGCGGATAAAGAATAACAATCTACCCACACGTATGGCAGCGATAAAAATTTCAATTTGGTTATCTTAAAAAAAAAACGACGAAGAAAGCCATTATTATTACCTGCACAAGCTGTTGGCGACAGAATGCGATGATATTGAGATGAGAGAGACAAAGAGATTTGGTGACCACCCAGTTAATAACCAGTTAATAAGTCAGAAAAAATTTCGCTAATGAATTCCAGGTGACCCCAAGTTAAGATGAAAAAAATTAATGTCCGCAGTACGATTCATAAGAATTCTGGCCGAGAGAAAAGAAAGAAAGAAAAGAGAAAGGAAGAGTTTAGGAGGATAATCCTCCTACGACCCCCTCTAAAACAGAAAGTAATTGATTTCCAAAAATGGGAAGTGATAAATTTTCCTGTCCGAAGACAAACAAAATCCTTATTGGGGATTTGGAATTATCGAAGAACCCAAACCACGACAGGCCTTTTTTAAGAACGACTTAGACTCACACCACCAAAACAAGTTTTGACGAATATCGCATGAAGATACTAAAAGGCAGTTTATTGGAAAACAACTTAAGATATCAAGACTCGCCTGAGAAACGCAAAGTGTCACGAATCCATAGAAGCGGGTTGGGAGAAAGACGCAGTCCTGTATTCAGCAAACAGACATAAAGATACTTGTTATTTTTTCAACACATTTGAACCTTTTGAGTTTGTTTCATTATTTTTCTTTTACATACACTTGTGCGGTATCACCTTTGCCCCGGATTCAGGTTGCACTACAGCCCGACGCTTGATTGATTTCGTCTACTTAAGATCAAATCACAACGTGGGTAGGTTAGACTAGAGAACAAAGCAGTTACTTCGGTAACCAGACGGTGAAGGCGAGCTGGGAACGACAAAGCTGATATCGAATCTAACCAGACATCGACCACGACCAAGACAAGTAGAGGGGTTAGTGTCATACATGGTTCCGTGGTAAACCAGATTTCCACCCGAAGCAGCCAAGGGCTAGATCGTCACATATGGTGCTGCAGTCGGCCCAGGGTTAGAGAGGGTCACAATTTGGGGCCGTGACCGGGACTGACCGTTTGCGTCACAATTGGCGCCGCGACCAGCACCGAGGAAGACGTCACAGTCTCAACATGGGCTAATAATTAACCCCCAAATGGGGGTCAAATTAGATTTTTATATTAAAAATACCAGCAGTACAATATTGAAAAAATGAATTACCGGCAATACATTTTTGTCAAAGAAATTACTAATGCCTGCAGAGAAAATTAAATTTCGGCATTACATGACTCATATGTTGTTGATATGCCGTTAAACAAAAAACAATTAACGAATCAAAGTAAATGGCTACAAGTTTCAATATTCTCTAGTCTTTTCATTTGACGAAAGCAGGCGGCATAAACCTGAGAACATTATCGTCACTTCCGTCTTCCCTTTCTTTCTTTCTTTCTTTCTTTCATTTTCTCACAGAAATAGCGTCTTTGATATATGTTTTCCGTCTTTCCTCGCGATCAAAACGGAATAGTCCATTATTTATTTGCGGTAATGGCATGTACCAGGGATATCTGTAAAGGAAGTTCTCAGGTAGGCATAGAAACGGTATACAATCCTCCTTAGGTGAGATAAAAAGGCTTTAATAGGGAACGTCCGTGTATGTGATGTCTCGGCACAAAATTACTGCTTACATCTATATCACGCTGAAGCACCAGTAATCTTGGACAAGGTATAAATATGCTTATTGTCCCCTAGCTATTGGTTAATTAGTAAGGCTTTTACCACTAAACCATTTTTAGCTCCAAAAAATATACTAAAATCTAAAAAATATTTTCTGGCTTTAAATAACATGAAAAGGCTTGATAAGCCGTAAAAAACGATTCAATAAAAATATGACAAAATAAAACTTGGGTAAACAATGTTTGTGTAGGACAATTTCAAGCTCAGCGGACTGCTTCGACTCGAGATTGCATCAGAAGGAAAAGTTGTCAGAAGATGTTATGTCATCACGTTTTGGCTTCGTGACATTTTCGTTCAGTTTGGCAATTCCCAGAATATTGAGCATACCATGGACCGAACATATTAGCAACAACGAGGTTTTTCAAAAGAGGGACACAAAAAGGAAACGCATACTTAACATCAGGAAGAGACATCTGAAATTTCCCGGGCACGTAATAAGAAAAGAGGGCTTGGAAATCCTAATACTTACGGGATAGATTGAGAGAAAACGGGACAGAGGAGAGCAGCGCGTAACATACTTGATAGGCTTGAGCAAACTGATGACAGAATAGGGTTTGGGAGAAACTGCAAAAAAGACAAAACATTAAGAGTTACAAGGGAGAGGAAGATGTGGAGTGTCGTTACCGTCTATGTTCTGAAGAGACACGGCACATAAAAGAAGAAAGAAGCATCCTGTCTGCGAATACACAATTCCAAAAGGAAGCATAAGATCACACTATATAAAAAAAGGTCTCCAAATTTCAGTATTTGAATGTCAGGCATCCAATATAATTAGGGTTTCGATCTCTGATAATTTCAGTCACTATGCCATGGAAAGAACAACAAATATAGATCTGCCTATGGTGTTTGAGGGAGAATAGTGCTATGGAAAATTAAACTCAATCTCGTCAAGCTGTGACTTTTGGCACGTCAGTGCATATAACAATGCCAATGATAATTTCGTAAATGTTTAGCGTCTTCCAAATAAGAATGGTTAATAATTTCGAGTTTAAATACTTATCGTATTTGCTCCAAGAACTTTGGCAGTTCTGCTGGAGGAATTCATTTTAGTTTTTTTGTTTGGATGTACCCATTTTACAATTCCGTTTGCTATTCTGGTATTTATATCGTGTCTCGCAAAGAATTTTGTCAAAGATTTAATCGCTCTCCGATTTTTTCTTCATGGTCTTTATTTGTACATCAACTTCTGAGTCTCTCTCTCTCTCTCTCTCTTTCTCTTTATATATATATATATATATATATATATATATATATATATATATATATATGGAACTGAAAAAGTTCTGAGCCAGACCAACTTGACGAATCAGTATTCTGATGTTTGCTCATAAAATATTTTCAGTAATCATTATCTATAGTGATTTTCCAAGCTTAGCTTGAATGTGGCACAAGGCCGAAAGTAAGGGGCACCCAGTGAGGATTTAACTCACTACTGAGTCATAATTGTTCTAGGGAGACAAGCTTAGTAACCATTAGACCGCCTCGGGGTACCCAGTAAACATTATCTATATATGCCTGTGTATTGCATGACTCTATTAGTTCTCATAGCTCTTAACTTTTTCTTTGCTCTTATTCATTCTGTTTCCTTTCTCTTCCCGTCTTCTTCTTCTTCTTCTTCTTCTTCTTCTTCTTCTTCTTCTTCTTCTTCTTCTACTGCTGCTGCTGCTGATTTTTCCCATTTTCTCGCCTATTTTGTAATAAATTACAACTCACTCAATCACTCACTCACTCTTCCTATTCTTTCTTTCTCCCTATGAAGTTCTCTTACACCCTCTCACTTTTTTCCTGCTGCTCACTTTTACTCTTTCGTCCGTTTTCTTTCTTTCTTTGTCGTTCTTTAATTCTTTTCTTCCCATTTCTCACCTGATCACTTTTTTCTTTTCTGTTTTATTCCAGCTGTACGCTTTCTTTCTTTCTTTCTTTCTTTCTTTCTTTCTTTCTTTCTTTCTTTTTCTTCCAGTTCCCCTCTCCGTTTTCCCGTCTTGACTTTCTCTTTTCTTTCTTTATTTCTTCCTCTTTATTTCTTCCTTTGTCTTTCTATTTTTCTTTTTTCATTCTTCTCTTGTTTTTATTCCAACTTTCTTTGTTTCTTAATTTACACCACAATCTTATCGATAATTTTTTTTTTCTCTCTCTCTCTCTCTCTTTCTCTCTTTCGGCCAAAACCGTAGCTCGACGAACACAGAAACGTTTGTAGTTGTTTTATTTTCGGCTCCGAACTTTTATATATTTTATATTTTATCCCATTTCTTTTTTTTCTATTCGCCTTTCTCCGAATTGCTTTGATTTTGTAGATGTCTATTTTAGCTTTTCTTTTATTCGCTGTAGTCTACAAACGCATCCCTCTGTTAAGTCTTGACATTTTTTTGTTTTTCTTTATTTCTATTTCTTTCTTTATTTATTGGATCCACGAGTATTTTAGTTAATGTCACACGACTTTCTTCGCTATCGCGTTGTTCGTAGAACGAGTAGAAAGTCGGTTAAGGCTGTACGCGTGAGGTTGTTTGTTTTCCTCTACACATCAGCGTACACACATCCACACATACTGTGTACAGCACATATACATATGCACACAAATGAGACATTCTGTTCAATGCCTTGTTGGTATTAGAAGTTGTTGTTTACGAAGAAAACTTACGGCATCGTTATTGTCTCTGCACTGACCGATTTTATTATATTTTTGTCTCCTTACACAGAAGAGTTCCTTGTGTATAATTATTGTGTTGCGCGGAGAACATTCGCTGAGGCTTCTTCAATATTGCTCTATAATACGCAGGTAGAACATTCGGCGTCTATGTTATTTGGTAATAAAACACCTTTGTGATGGACCATGCTTTGAATGAATAATAATAATAATAACACGCTGTTATTATCAAAATTCTTCCGTTTGCTTTTGTTGAGTCATAAATAATTTCCGGTTTTGTACATCTTATAAAAACGAATTATATTTTATTCGAATAGAATATTCACCATTATTTGGAATGGCAAGCTGCCACTAATCAGCCAGCTCTTCAGTACGTTTTGAAGAGATTTACTTCGATTTTGCTGTTGGAAAGGATTTCTACGAACCCACGTATCTGATATTTATTAGAGAAAATTTTCCCTCTCAAAGCGTTTTGCGGCGATCAATCAAAGGAATAATCGGTTGGAGCAAACCCAGTTATCACTTTCCACTCTCTGTCGAGTCAGTTATTAACCCCCTACTGAATCAGGTTGTGAAAAAAGGTCGGCTTTTAAATTAAAGACCCGAGTATTTCCACTCGGGCCGCTGGTCATAGCGCGTCTAGGCTGTTCTTAGTTGGTCATATCTTGTCTAAGCAAGTCATAGACGTTCATACCACTGCCACGGAACAAATGCTTCGCAACGATAGAGGTTCACAGAAGAGGATAGAAGGCCTCCGACACGCAACAGGCACTACATCTGCAGCATCCATCCCGACTGGGTGGGGGGGAAACCTGCCAATCTCTCCGGAAGAACCCGGGTGAAGAGCCCACACTCTCTATAGAGTCCAAAACCTTCTCAGTGTTCTTGCAGGTGACAAATTATTTTCTACCATTTAGCCTCTCTCTCACAGATGCGATATAGCAAGCCTATCTCTACTTCTATGAGAGTGTTCGGACGAACTGCATTCTTTCTATTTTTCTTTTTTTTTTGACAGCTCTAATCTTTAGGGTCAGGAGCTGCCATGCCACGTACATTGTTGCAAAGCATCCTTATTCTTCCATTACAGAGATATACGTTCCACTCGAACAGCTTCCCGCGTACCACTGCTCTGATGAATCGATTTCAAAGAGGATATATATATATATATATATATATATATATATATATATATATATATATATATATATATATATAATGAGAAAGAACAGTAAGATTTATAAGCCAGTGTTCATATTAATTGTTTCTATCTAAAATAAAACAGTGCTCCATAGAATACGGCAGAGCATAAATATGATAAATTTACTGATTTAAAAATATAGTTCCATCGCTACACAGGAATTACTATGTTTCAAAAAAGAAACTATCAACTTCAAATTTAATTATGGAATTAAATTAAAATCCTTAGTATTGTTTCATATTCAAGCGAATTTTGTAATAACTTATTTTGAAATTTACTGAGTTCATAGTATTAGTTTCTAAGGATACGGGGAAATTCAATCATTTTGATAAGGGGCAGTAGGGTATTGATTTTCACTGAAAACTATTGTATCAAAATATGAGTTACTTTCGAAATGAAGTCAAGGTAGGGTAGGGGTGCCTGTTCAACAAATGATGACATTCGTTTTTAGCATGTCTTTTGTTTGTTTTTTTTTAAAAGACAAAACGTTTTTCGACACTTTTTTGACATTAAATTTGTGATTTTATACATAAAGATTTTTTTCCAAAAGGGTTGTTTGAATATGAGTACGTCGTATTAAAATACAATATATATATATATATATATATATATATATATATATATATATATATATATATATATATATGTGTGTGTGTGTGTGTGTGTGTATTTAGGCAGCATTTTTTCATTCATACATGTTTCATTATATAATATAAACCCGTGTTGTCTATTTATTTTATGTAAATTCTTTTCATAATGTCTGATAAGTTTAATTACATTATCATTAAACGAAGAAAGAAAATCACAATATTGATCCATATTTTTTAATCCAATCTAAGCTTTCGGCTTACATAAGCCATTATCATTCATATATTCTTCTTTAAGTTAGTTCACCCCAAGCAAGGCGATAATGCCACTAAGACACAAGTGCCTACTGTGAGTGAAAGAGAATGAAAAAAGATATTAGAAAGAACCGGAAACTCTTTCCTAAATCGGAATAAAATGTTAAACGTCTACGTCTTTTCATAAGGAGTTTCAATTGTTACTCTTTCTATTTTCAGCCTTGTAGTTGCCATGTAGAAATTTTCCTAAATACAAGCGCAGAGCTCTTTTCAGTCAAACATTTATTGTCCCGTTGCAGCTGTTGAAAATATAAAAAATTGCATTAAGTGTGTTAGTGCATTTTTAAGCAGGTCTAAATGAATAATACGCCAACGCTCTCATTTAATGCAAAATATTATCATTCTTCCAAGGAGCGCAGCATTTTGAGTCGGTTGAAGAGATTTACAGTTGTCAGTCCGCTGTTTTTTTTGTGTTGAACTTTGTTGAATTTTAGTTTACTCCAAATTTATTCGTAACTGCCTTGCATGCCTAGTAGTTAGACATTACAAATGGTTTCCCATATCGGGAATTACTTATGAGTTAATTTATTACAGGGTGATATGGATAAATTCTCGCCATTTTAAATTTTTCATTTCGCGCATGCGCATTGTTTGCTTTTTGATTTTATTTTGTAAGGTCAGTTGGGTACCGTCTGTGAAAAAACAAAAAAACAAAAACAAAAAAAAAAAAAACACCGTGTCTCAATTCATCCCACCGGAAATGCTGTACTGCTTGGCACTCGCACTGGAAGCTCCAATACGAACATTTCAGAGTGTTCGTTGTCAATCTGACAATAGAGCACAGGATTCGGAAAGAGATGGATGAGTCTAATGGTGATTAAGAAGCTAGGGCTGTTCGGAAAACACACTCTTGTCGTTCTGAAAAGAAAGAACTCCCAAATTTGTTGGTGAGGGCCCCAGGCTCAACACGAGAGGCCTACATAAAGTACTTTCAGGAGGTAGTACTGCCTGGGGTCAAATGGGCGGTTGCCGGAAGACCCTATATCTAGTAAGAGGACTCTGCACCATGTCACACAAGCAGGAGATCCCAGTGAGACCATTTTCTGCAAACACATCACCCCTTACATCAGCAACACCACTTGATTATTATGTATAATTCGTAGTTGAGCGAGAGAGCCACAAATCTCGTTAGAACACAAAAGATGAACTGACGGCAAAGCTTATGGCAGCATTCACCAACTTAAACAAGGACGCAGTCCGGAAGAGATGCAGGAGATTCTGATGTCGACTGGAGGCCGTGATTGAATTCAAAGGCGACTTTATTGAATAAATTTACTCTTTAGTATTTCGAGATATTTTTTGCGTTATTTTGGTAAATATATCTGTTAAAATTAGATGTCAGTTGTACTTTCATTTTTGCGTAATTCAGACGACAAATTATCCATCGCACCCTGTATAATAAGCAGGAAAGTGCTTAATACATTTTCTGTCCAAGTTATTTAATAATAATTAACAAAAAGGAGCAGAGTTGTAAAATGCTGCAATGTTTAGCAAGGTAAATCATCTTCGTAAAAACTAATAACGAGATTATATCAGTTAATATTGGGTTAGAGTAAGTGGCACCGGGGCTATCTCTGAACGATTTTCTGTCTTGGATTGAGTGCTTATTATTTTTTCCCGCCATCCTGTTTACCTACTTGTTCACATCCTAAATGCAGTTGGATCGATCACCACTTTACATGTCATAGGCTGTCAAGGACATCATTTGAGGTGCAAATCTATACAAGGTTGCTAAGTGTCGCCTTCAATATAAAAATTCTGGTAGATTTTTGTATATCACATGGTGAGTACGGTTTCATACTGGGCTAACCGCAGATCAACTTCTGCTAGTGCAAAGGTTCCTCATCCTATTATAAATGTACTTGCTCCAACTTTCCTTAGTTTGGACGACCTTTACTCCGTGCCAATATCTCATAGATAATGGACTATTCCGTTTTGATCGCTTGGAAATAGGAGGAAAAGACACTATTTGTTTTCAGTGAGAAAATGAATGAAAGAAAAAAAAAAGAAAAAAAGAAGTGTTCAACGGCTGCTTCAGAGAATTTTTAAAAAAATGTTTTCAAATTCAAATCTTTTCATTTGTACGCATGTCTTAAAATAACGACCGGCATTCCTATTTATGTGAGTTACTGCAATGTTAAAGTTTCTAAGCTCAAATATTTTACGATGCGATACGGGAATTTCTACGCATATTTTATCTTTGTAGAACTCACCATCAATCATTTACTTAAGAATTCTGATTATTCAGAATGGTAACTTAGGAAAGCCGGGAAACATTCACGGGTTAAAACCAGTTGCTATTAAATTCGATTCCTGTCATCTAATATTTGCCGTCATGAATCGCATACTACAAGAGGTTGATCGATAACTATAATTATTAATACTGAGTTCGATCTCCAGCGTTTGCTCTATACCAAATTGAAACTA